GCGCAAGGACCCGAGTTCGATCCCCGGTACCAAAAAGAAAAAAAAAAGAAAGAAAGAAACTGAGGCCTGGAGATCGAGCTCAGTGGTGCTGACCCTGCCTTGCAAGCGGAAGGTCCTGAGTTCGATCCCCAGTACCAAAAAAAAAAAAAAAAAATTGAAAAATTGAGCTGTTACTCATAACAAAGGAATTCTGCTATTAACTATGTTTTAAAATTTCAAGATAAATTAAAATCAAATGAACATTTCGTGTCGTTCTTATAATTTTTAATGTGCTAATGAATTATAGGCTCCAAAAGTAAGAAATATGTACCGTGTCAAATGTATTTAATCTTTTCCAAAAACCTTGGGGGAAAATTATCCTATAAAAAAATTGGAAAAATGTTGTGCTGCTATTTAGATATTTTGCACCTATATTTATTTTTTGTATTTTTTATTTTCTGAAAAAATAAAACAAAATCTCACAACTAACAAATAAGAGTATAACAACGATTAATGCACTGCATATCATTATTTTCAAAGTAGTTACTCAGAGTATAGGACACAGACAAAAAAGATCTTTCTTACAAAGAAGAAACTAACAGATAATAGCACAAAACTTTCTTACTCATGTAAATAATAATGAGTAAAATACCTATTATTGACTGCGTTAAATATTCTCTGAGGTACCCTTTCCACAGAGTCTCCTCTGGAAACAGCCAATGGGAGGCTCTGGCAGAAGAGGGAGGTTGTGAGGAGAGGGAGCCAGGGTTCGGGTCCTCCTCCTGCAGGGCGTGGGCTGGGGTACCGTGTTCTCCTCTGAGGGCGCAGCTCCTGCTGGGAGGCCTCTTCTACAAGCTCCAGCTCTCTGCAGGCTCCAGCAACCTCGTCCACCCCTTCCTCTGCAGCCTAGGAGGCAACACAGCCGGAGCTGTTACCGCCACAGAGTGCTTCACCTTCTCATGCTGGCCCCACAAAACCCATTCGAAAGAACACCCTAAGTCTTCATTAAACTCTCCGCCACCCCGCGGCTGGACCGTGTTATCTCTCTTGTTAGCTTTTTGAGTCTCATATTCAAATTAACATTCTCACACTTTTTCATTTTTCTTCCCCTTCTAACTCAAATATCTGTGAGTTAATACGGAACTTTATACGGAGTTTTATAACTTTACATTATTGGTATTTCACATTGAGCACTTTTCTTGCAGTATATACTAATGACATAATGCATTCCACTTCTTCAAAATACTTTCAAATGTCACTTAGAAAAACTCTTGTTTAAATGGTTTTAAGGCTCACTTTTAATACTTTTGTGCCAGGACTTCTACATTCTTGAGTGTTTTACATTGGTTAATCACTCAGTTACCTACAGTAGTTGTCAAAGTGAATATATGAGTTGCGTTTTCTAAGTCATTGCATAGCTTAAAATATCATTCTGTTCCCTTCTCAGAACAATGATTTGGCTTGATATAGAATTCATGAATCACCGTCCTCTCAGAATCCTTCGGATGTTGCTTGCAATGCCTACTATATTTTAAGATTATGAAGAAATAGTCTGGGGCTGACCCAATTTTTCTTTAGGCCCAGTATGGCCATCCTGCTTTCTGTTGCTGTCAGCCAACATTTTAGGGAAGAGTTTTATATTTCAGAAAACTCTCTTTCCTATACACACACACATTCACACACACACACACACACACACACACACACACAGAAAGGGGGGGGCAGTTTAAGACCATGGAACTATCCTGCTTTTTGAAATTTCCTGTTTCAATCTTTCCTAAGATGCTCACAAAATGATAATTTTCCAATATTACCAGTGAGTCTCTAGCACACAACTACAAGCAAGAGCCCTTCCTTTTCCTTGAATATTTATTCATCAGTTTACTATCAACAAGAATGCATGGATCCCTGTTTTTTCAGTGGCTTATAATTCATTGCTGTACTTAATTGTTTTAATGTTCCTGTTTTCCCAGATCTGGCCTGCAGAAGTCCCTCCAACTGGAGACAATCTTTAAACATTGAATTGTTCATTTCCAATAAGACCAAGATGCAGAGAATCAGATGCCTTTCTCAAATCACCAGCCTGTCCTAGCCCCTACATCATTTTCTCCTTGTACATTCTACACAGCCAGCAGAGCTGTTAGACATCAAAATACAAAGTTCTTTCTACATTTTCTAAAATCTAGTGTACATATTTTTCTGTACACTTGTTGCTACAAGATCCTATATATATTTATGGATCTAAGTATATATATCCTATATATATTCATAGGTGTCTAAGTCAGAGAAATCTATAAACAAATTTTTAAAAACAGGTTACCATAAAGCAAGTTCTGATATATTATACTTACTTGTTCAAATGTACTTAATCAAAAATATATCTGAAATTAGGAACTTCATGGTTGCTGTCAGTAGTGTGTGTGTGTGTGTGTGTGTGTGTGTGTGTGTGTGTGTCCACTCTTACTGGGAAACATCCAGGAAAACAGGCTGTCCCTTATTGAAACCACAGTGAAGGTGACATTGTCTGCTGGTTATCAAAACTCAACTAGCCTAGCTTGAAAGTGGTTGGATCTGGGATCCCTGAGACAGCAGAACTCAAAAGAGGGCAGGAAGTTCATGAATTTGATCAGAAACCAAGCCCAAGGCAGAGATTTCATGTCTGGCACCAAGCAGAAGTCTCTGGCTTCCAACTCAGCAAAAACTAAAGTAGAAGCAACCCAGAACCTGGGATTGTTCCTGAGCCTTTAACTACACACCCGCCTATCCGACCATGTAACTATTTCCATTTCCTTAAAAGCTTTTGCAAACTTTGCATTGAGTGGAAAAGGTTCTCCTCCTAAAGTCATATCTCTGTGAGGGTCTGAAAACCCCAGAACATGGGATGAAACATCAAACTGGGAGAAAAAAGTGAGTGGCCTTTTCCTCCTGACTTCTAATGAGTGTTGCTGCTGCTGAAAGTGTGCAGCACGTGAGGGTTTCAGAGGACTTTGTGCCACCCACAGAAACTCATCCTTGAGTCCCTTCCGGCCTTTCAGCTTGTGACACGTGCCCACTGGAGGCAGCACCCTGAGTTCCACAGCTCTGCCTCCCTACAAGGCTGCCACATGTCACCGAGAGCTGCAGTTCTCTCTCGCACATTTTGCATAATCAGTTTCTATTCTGTCATGTTCTCTCACACATGGTGCTCTGAGACTATTCTGGAAAACAGAGAATATTTTTCAGTTCAGATGAGTAGCATAATTTTACGCTGTGCTCCGCCTGTTTGGTAAATGAAGTCAATTACTCATATCTGTCAGAGAAAGAGAAAGACATGCCGGCATGTAACCTGTTTTTAGACCCAGAGACTACCCCTTTGCTTCCATCATGCTGAAAATAGCAACAATTCACATCATGGCTCTGAGAGTGGATATTTGCATTCAGATTTCTAACTTTTAAAAAATCCACTGCATGTGTTTCTGCAATCACTTCTAAATGTTTCCCCTCCTTTGAAAAAATTCTACATTCTACAAGCCACTTCCCACAGTTCTGAAAGTAGCACTTTCTACAAGGCTTAAGAGCCAGTATTATCTTTCATTGGCTACCAAATCTAAACCATACATTCTCTGAGCCTCAACTTCCTGAGCAGCAACAATGGGACAGTAATAGTAAGTATCTTCCTTAAAGGACTGTCTGATTGTGTTAGCCACTTTCCCGTCACTGGGACAAAATACCTGCCACCAACAATTTAAAGAAAGAAAGATTTATTTGGGGGTTATGGTTTCAGTCCATGGTCAGCTGACTCCAAGGCAGAAACAGGACGGCAGAAGGCCCTGGCAGAGGAAGAAGTGCTCAACCCATAGCAGCTAGGGTGTGGCCAAAGTAGAATAAAAAAGGGAAGAGATATTTAAGGCAATGAAAAAATGGGACAGGAGCACTGGATGCATAGGCAAAACTTAGATTTCAATTTTAGATGCTAATTTTTTCACAAAACTCAAAATGTTCATGTGGACCTGCTAAGTACCCTTATCTTGGGAAATATGACCACGGTTTGAGTTATGCCTATGACATTTTCCAGCTATGTGACTGTAAGACACTCACTTACTTGGACAATTTTCTTTCTTTCCTGATAAAAAATTTGAACCTAACCAGGCAGCTGGGAAGAGTTCATAGAACTCACTGGGTTCTGTGAGGGGTAGAGTTCATGGGGAAGTGACTATGAATTGTTTTAAAATTAAAACTGCTGTTTTCTCCTAAGGGTAAGGCTTTGGGGGCATTTATTCACTTTCCTGTGTGTGTGTGTGTGTACATGTACGTGTGCATGTGCATGTGGCAATAGGTACTTTTGAAAGGTTTCAAAATGTCAAAGGACTGTACGAACCTGTCATTAGTCATTCATAGGTCCCTTCTCCAATCTCATAATCAGCACTGTTGTTGGGGTAAGATGAGAAGTAAACAATCTAAGCAGACCTCCCCAACTGATTTCCTCTAAATTGGGAGAAATGGACGTCTTTGTGGAAGCAGTCACCGCCCCTCGGAGCCCTCTCAGAGGACGCAATCTCTTTCCACCTCTAGCCGCATGCGATCACTCCGGGGCTGTTTGGGGCTGTTTCTCTTCCTCTTCCTCCCCGCTGACTCCTTCCCAATCCCCTCACTTCCCATTAGCACACCTCCCTCAGGGAGGACAGAAAAGGAGACATTGATTTCCCCCAAACAGGTCAATACGAGTCCTTTTAACAGCTCACACCGGTGAAAGAGCAGGTTAAATGCAATGTGGTTTGTGAGCAATCTCAACTTCATTCATCTGTGACCATCTTTTCCCTTCAACAGAGCCACAGATAAGCAGCAGTGGATGCACCCAGAGCCCCTCTAAGAGAAATCCAACTTTCCTGGCAGAGATCCATGAAGCAGCTTTGATGTGTAGGCCTCTTTTTTCCCCTTTTACTCTAGCCCTCCCTTATCTGTGGTTTTGCTTTCCCTGCTTTCATTTACCCTTAGCCATCCTTGATCCAAAAATATTAAGTGGAAAATTCCAGAAATACAAAATTCTTAAGTTTCAAATAACTTTTATCGCTCTATATTATTATAATTGTTCTGTTTTACTACTTATTACTATTGTTCATTCCTTAGTTGCCTAAGGTGTAAGCTAAAGTTTATTGTAGCATGCACGTATAGGGAAAAACACATGTAGGGTACAGTAAAATCTGAGGTTGCAGGCATCCACTGGGAGCCTTGGAACTTCATCCCCATGGATAAAGAGGGCCTGCTGTACAAACAGTGGAATGCTATTTGTTTACTCAGAACAGCTCTTTGGATATTAAGGCCATCCAGGTCAGGGCACAGCAACTACAAGGAGGGTGTGGCTACCCAGGAGCAGTAGCCTTCATGACAGAAACAAGCAGGATCAAGATGAAAAGAACTATCCTCTTCCGTCAAATCCAAATGGAGACGATGCCTTCTTCACCACATCGCATTCTGTAAGCAGACTTCCAAGATGTGCTGCTCCCTGAAAACAGGCTGCCTAAACATCTGCGGGGAGACAAAGGAAAACATGGGAAAGAAACCCAGAGATGAATATTTCAGCAGAAACGTGGGAAGAAGTACTCTGCAACTCGCAAACAGCCTTCTGTACCACATGCCATAAATTAACACAATATAAATTTATACATATTTACACCACATAGTCTCTAACTATATAAATCCTCAATACTCAGACTTGTGGAGTAGGTGTAAGAGAACAGTCCATATGTTTATTCATGCTCTATGGAGCTCTAGGGAACTTAGAGATTTTACACACACACACTGCTCTCTCTCTCTCTCTCTCTCTCTCTCTCTCTCTCTCTCTCTCTATATATATATATATATATGATTACAGTTGAATCTAAATGTTTAAATCAAATTAATGGTTAAGACAAAAGTCTATTTTAGAAAATGTTGTAATTTTTTCCAAGATCTTCACAACCAAAAAGAACTGTAATTCTATCCAACTGAGCATTTACCTAGCTGCCTTATGTATTCCAAAACTTCAATAGTTACTGATCTATGCATAATGATTGTGTTGACTAAACTCTTTACTGATGAAAATGATGATGTAAAGGACTATTCTCTAAGCTCACCCATCCCTATGAAACAAAATAACACTAAAATACCAGATTTCACAATCGGAAGTTTCTTTACCCGTAAGTGAAACTGTGATTTTGGGGGTGAAATGGATGTCTGAAATCAGTCTGAATGCTTAGGCTTTGCTTTTGCTTCTGTCACTTACTTATTCTCCTTGAAAAAATCCCCTAGCTTCTTGGAGAATAAGAGAAGATATTAATACCTGCTCTGAAAAGCTAAAAACATAGCAAGAATCTGTAATACAGAGTTGACACAAAAGTCTTTGGCACCTGTAATGTCTTTATATGTACTTTCAAGTCATTGTTATGGTTTCCTTCACAATTTGCTAAGCAAACAAAATGCATTCAGTTGCTTTTACAGCTTTCTTGGAAGAAAGCTACAGCTGGGTTGCTGTTGGCACTCTTTGTTTCTGAAGAATGTCATCATGATGGTCAGAGAAGCACATCACAGTGCCAACTGCCAACTTGCCTTGGCACATTTGTATGTGTAGGCAGTGCCTGTCAATGTGTCTTGGGCATTGCCCAACACTCAGTGGGCATTATTAAACATGGAATAACAATAAGAATTTTAGGAGGAAATGGCTGACTTCCACAAAAAAGACATAATTTTTCCACACTTCACTACTTAAAGCTATAAGCAGCTATAAAATGAGCAGAGCCTCTATATTTTTGTAGGCACCAGAGAATCACAATAAAATAATGTTGCACTTATCATGGCCACAGTCACAACTGCTGTACAATAAAGCATAGAAGCTTCATCTATGCTTCACTGTATGCTGACAGCAAGAAAGAATCCTCTTTGTATAATCACTGGTCTCTAGTTTGGTGTGACTTTGTTTCTCCTGCCTTTGTGTGCAAGAGGATGGTAGCCATGGGTCTTTTGAGGGTTAGAGAGGAGATACTCCTTCTGCTGTTTTCTTCTACCCACATTCCAGTAGGCATGGGGAAAGGCTTCACATCACAGAGATAACCGTAGACTTTGTGCAATGGTTGAGACATACCTCAGGATGACATACAATCATTGATATCTCTGCCCATACTACCACCACCACCATGACAACCAATGTCATCATGCCCAGCACAATAGCAAGGAATACACGACAGTCACCCAGTCTTGTGCTCAGTTAAATTGTTGGTAGCTATGGATCCCTTTCAAGATTAATTTTTGCAGGTATATAAAACAAGAACAGCACTGGAAGGACACATAGAAGCATTATCTTTCAGGCTGCCGTACCACTGCACCCAGTGCCGAGGAGCAGAGCTGCCCCCAGCACAGAGGAGGTGAAACATCCAGGCCACCATATTACCATCCTCAGCGCAAAGGAGCTGAGCTGCATGAGTGCCAGCAACACACATCCCTTGCTCCCCACCCCCGATGAAATAAGAAGACACTTAAACAAGTCTCAAAACCAGACTTCCAGATCACCTAAAGCAACCCCAAAGGGAAACGACATGGAACAATCTGATACTCAACCACCTGGACTCCCTGAACTGGCAACAAAAGAGGATCTAGAAAAAATGAAATCAGAAATAATTTCTCAGATAAAAGTAGAGATTGTACCCATAGTGCAAGGCATGATTAATAAATCTAGAAAGGACACAAATAAAAAAAATAGAGGAGCTGAGGAAAATGATGGAATCCCAACATAGGAAACAAATGGAATCCATAAAACAGATGCAAACAGATTTGTAGGAGATTAAAAACTCCATTGAAAGTTTATGCAGAGAATGAGCCAATGTGAAGACAGAATTTAAGATATAGAAGATAAGACTGCAATTAGTGACCAGGAAAAGAAAATTTCTTTATAATAGTAAGGGACCAGGAGAAATCAATCAAGCAGCTGCTAGATGATGCAAAGAAGAATAACATAAGACTGATCAGAGTTAATGAAGAAACGGGACAGAGTGCAGATGACATTAAAAAAAACTGTTCACAGAAGTGATGGCAAAAAACTTCCCAAGCAGGGGGAAAGAACTTGACATATAGATAAGTGAGGCATATAGGACTCCCACTAGCCTTGATCAAAAAAAAATCTACACATAGGCATATAATAGTTAAGATTCCAGAAACCCAACAGAACAGAATTCTACAAGCAGTTAGAAAAGAAACAAATCACATACAAAGGAAACCCCACCAAAATCACAGCAGACTTCTCAATGCAAACCCTCAAGGCAAGAAGAGCTTGGAGTGACCTATTTCAAGCCCTAAAGGAAAACAGCCTTCAACCCAGATTGATGTACCCTGCTAAGCTATCTTTCAAAATTGTTGGAGAAATAAGATACTTTCCTGACAAAGAGCACCTTAGGAACTTCATGAAAACCAAACCAGCACTCTAAAATATTTGAGACAATATCCTAGGAACAGACAATGAAGATCACAACCCCAGGAAGCACAGCAGAATGAATCCATCGGGCATGACAAGAAATTAAATGCAAAGGGGGTGAATCCAACATAAAGAAAAAGTCATGATAATGATAAGTTAATATGTATCAGTTATAACCATCAATGTTAATGGTCTC